GCTGGCCATGGTGCAGGGCGCGCTGGAGCTGCGCACCAAGGTGGTGGAGGACGTGCTGACGCCGCTGGCCGACTGCTTCATGCTCCGTGCTGATGCCGTGTTGGACTTCGCTACCGTCTCCGAGATCCTCCGCTCCGGCTACACGCGCATCCCTGTCTACGAGGGTGACCGGCGAGACAACATTGTTGACCTGCTCTTCGTCAAGGACCTGGCCTTCGTGGACCCCGATGACTGCACCCCCTTGCAGACTGTCACCCGCTTCTACCGCCGCCCGCTCCACTGCGTCTTCAACGACACGCGCCTCGACACGCTGCTCGAGGAGTTCAAGAAGGGTGAGGCCACTGGGCTGCCACCCCCCAGGCTTCCCCTGCACCCCCTCCACACCCCCAAAGGTTCCTTGGTGAGCAGCCCCTCGTGGCCAACTCCACATGGCCTCCTGACAGGGCCCGGCAGGTACCGGGGATGCTGGGGGGGGGTTTGAGCTCTGCATGGCAGTGACCTTGGTGTCACCTGCTGGAACAGCCCCTGGGTAGATCAAGGGCCTGCGGTGCTGGTTGTGCTTGTGGTGTCATGGAGACTAAGAACCTTTGGCTTCAGAGGTTGGTGGGGTGAGCTTGTCCCACAGGGCTGATGTGTCTGTGGGTTCTGGCAGCACGGGAGCGGTGGGCGCCTCGCACCCCTGCCCAGGTGTGGCAGCATTCACTGCTCATTTCTGTGCAGAGGAGTTCATGGCAGTAGATTGCATCTCGTTACTTAGCTCTCGTGTTTTCAGCTTAGCCATGAGAAGTAGGTCTAGAAAGTGTTTCTGTGCAAATGATTTAAAGGAAAGAAAAAAGCCAAAACCTTTAGAAAGAGCTGTACTTCTTTTTTGCAGTTGTGACAGTATTCATAATGCAGCAGCTGCCAACAGCCCTAGAGATGCTGAGAGCTGTATTTCATTAACTATACCTTGAGAATACACACAGCATGTGTCTTTTCCCCTCCCTGGGAAGTGGGTTTTGCTGCGCGTTACGCGACATGTCACACCGTGCTGAGCGAGTCTGTAAGAAAGGGCTGCAGCAGTGACATCCTGCATTGTGTAATGCTTGAGGATGGCACCCAGCTCCGGCTGCCCAGGGCTGCTGCTGCAAGCAGAGCTGGTCATGTGAGAAAGACCAACCTGGTCCATCCCAAATACAGAGAAAGCCTCTCTCTGAGCTCATCTCTGTGCTCATTTTTAGAGCTGGGAGGAGGGGTGGAAAGGGATTGTCAGATATATGTAGGTTAGCATCCTCTCCTGAGGTGCACAACTGTGTCCCCACGACCTTCTGGGATCACAGGGAGAGGAGTTCTGTGTGGCACACAACACCTCCCCTCTCTGCACAGCTGGAGAGTTGCAACTTGGTGCAAATCAGTAAATTCCTGTTTTTTATTTCAAGACTTAAAAAAAGCATTAAGATTGCTCTCTGGGTTCAACCTTGATGAGCTGCAGTATAGTTCCACTCCACCATGCCTCTTCTAACATGGCCAGTTGTATTTCCTATTCCTTATGTGGTTTGCAGTTCCCTCTTACCTGTGGTTTCCTGCATGATACTGCAACATTACTGGAGTTCACCTGAGGTCTCTGCTACCTCTCTCTTGTCTAGAGAGTCAGGTGCTACCACAGATGTCAGATGGCTTTGGCTTCTTTCATCAGCCTTCCCTGCACTATATCCAATTTTTATGTATTCAGCTACTTCCCCCTCCAAATTTATTCTACAGCCTGGTACCCTGTGGATCCACAGACCTATAGAAAAGGACTCGTGGTTGGTTAGCTCACTGCCCTTTGCTTGTGCTTTCCTGCCTGCGTACACAGAGATGCTTTCTGTTTGTCACTCCCCAACCTGACAGGTGCATTAACAAGCTTGCTACCTGCCCTGCACTTTCACATGGCCATCCTCATCTCAGATGAGGATTATCCAGCCTTCTTCAGCTTTGCTCCATTAAATTCTTGGCATTTTGCTGCAGGCTCTTCTTCCTTTACTTGTGTTTGCCATCATGGCTTTCTGGGCCATTTTGCTACAGCCTCTGTGTAGAGCTCTTCCTAAAACTTAGGTATTTTCCCACCTCATTTCTCCTTGTGTTTTTTAAATTGCATAACCAAAAAACCTTGCTTTTGGTCTTAGTATCTAACTCGCCTTGGTGTTTAGCAATTCCAGCTCTTTGCCCAAATACTCTTCTTCTCAGGTGTTGCTGTTCTCTTCTGATTTTTCTCCTAGGCATTTGATCACCCTGTAACCCCGTTCTGTAGATGACCACCCCCCAGACCAGCCCCAAACCCCTCCTAAACTCTCTTTTCCCAGTTCCAAATACAGGTTCCCATTCCAGCTCCCGCACTGCCACAGACGTTCACTCACAGCTGCCTTCAGACCCATCCACTCCTGTTTCATCCCCATTCTCTTGACTATTTAATTTTTAAAATAAAGATTTCCCATTAGTAATTAAGAATCTTCATCACTGTCTCCTTTTCTCTGTCCATTTAAATTATGGTAAAGTATCTTGTTTGATCCAATCAAGGTTGTTTTCCATTGCTAGGTCTTGTGTGACACCTCTACTAATTAGAGCACAAGATGATTGCTTGTTGGTTCAGTGAGTGCTTAATGAAGGCATTAATCACTTTGCACATGCAAGGTACCTGCAGGACACCAAATGCTCCCATTGATAGAGCCCAAGCTCTTTCTCGGAAATTAAAAGTCTCTGGTAAGGATGATCATTCAAAACCATCTCCATGTCCTTAGGTCTCTGACAAAACGCTAGTGAGACCTTGCCAGCTTTTTTTTCCTTCCCTTAAGATTAACACAAACAGCTTTTGTATCCGTTATTTCTTTTCATTATTACAGTATTTATACAAAATATCACATTTTATATCTTTCTTCCCTGGATAGCAATGTATACTTCATTTTCACTAATGATTCATGTTCTGCCCCATCCACTGTGCTCATAGTATCATTTTTTTTGCATAAGGTATAAGTAACACAATTTCACTGCCAGAGCTCCTTGCCACAGTACACAAACATTTGTTCTTTCTTACTGAAAATGTCAGGGGATGACTAAATACAGCACTTTGGGACTCTTGCTCACACCTCCGGCAGCACTTTCTGTTTTCTGCCTCTCCTCCTACTCACTGGCATCATACTGTATTATACTTGTTTACTTGATTTATTTCTTTTCTCTCATTGTTCTATCCTAGTTATGGAGATGATCAGCTTGTTTTCCTTCTTTTGTAGCAGGGTTTGAAGAGAAGTTTTCCTTCATTGGTTTCTAGGCATGTTCCCCCCTAACCTTGTTTGAGCTCAGTTCCAGTAAGATGCAGTGATGTTTGTCTTGAGTTTAATCTCAAGGAGAGGAGTCACAAATCCCCCCCCAGCAAGACCCTGTGCAGTGGGATTATTCTCCATGGACCTGGGGAAAGGCACTTACATAGCATCAGCTTGCCAAAATATCTAAATTGTTTGAAAATAATAGCATATGCTTCAGGAGCTCCTAGGGAGCAAGTGGCCTGGTGTGTTTATGCCATCCAAAAGTAGCTGTGATCTCCTGGCTGACAAAACCAGGCCCCTGCCCCATCACAGCAGAACTGATTGAACTCTTCACAAGCCTGCTGCTGCTGGCATTATTCAGTGTCTCTTGGCACTGATTTCTAGAGAAATATGGTTACATTTGGAGTGCCAATGGGAGCTGGGAAAAACCCAGAGAAGACTGCAAACAGCCACACAGAGGGAGGCTGGATAGCTTGGACTTCAACCCTCAGCCCAGAACAGGAGGGCATCTCCTAAAACCAAATTGAAAAACAACATTACACCAGCAAGGCAGGTCCAGCTGAAGGCAGGAATTGCTTGTGCAATTGGTTTCCTCATCAAAACTGAGTGAAATGAACTCAAATAATGAAGTCTGGATATCCAGTTTGCCATCTTTTCAGGCAAGCCTGAAATAAATAAGAAATAACTGCACCATATTTAGCAAGTTAAAGCAATATAGAGGGGCAGATGAGGTCACAGGAGAATAAACTTCACCTTGGGAATATGGAGCTAGGAGGAAAGGCTTAGGCAACCATTCAGTGTGAAATGCTGTGGGTGATACAGTCTGTTTCTCCTCCATTCCTAGAAGATAACTGAAGCTTCAGTCCTGGGATATCACTCCTCCTGGGGAGATCTGCTGTGAGGTCCACCACTTTGTTCTGTAGGTGCCTTTGGGAATTCATAGCCTTGTCCCATTGCTCAAGTAATTTATGGAATTTGTTGACTAATTATTCAGTAGGTCCATATATAGCAGTAGCATTTTCAGCAAATAACCTTCCTTTGTCAGAGAAATGGTGGCAATTTGATTTTACAGTCATTTTCCTACAGCAGGGCAGAGGCTGAGGTGGAGCTCAAATTAGGCTTTTGTGGTCTGGCATCTTTTGAAAATTACTAAAAGTAAACTCTCCAAAACCAAACTTCCTGGCTGAGCAGGGAAAACAGCCTGTCCTATAAAAGACAGTTCTGACCTAGAGTCTCTGTCTTTACTTTTCAAAATATTCCACAGTTTCTGTTAGACATCTACAAATAGAATGTAGTTGGAGAAGGTGTTGACACTTGCCAGGAGCTGGGATCAGTACCATTCCATCTGCTTTTCTTACAGGTCTTCTTCTGAGCCTGCAGCCATTGCAAGCACAAAGCATGGCTTGAAATTTAAACTAGCCTTTGAGATATTTCTGCAAGTGCGATAGCCACCATTTTGGGCATCTAGATGGGCTGAAACAATGACCTCTGAGCCAGTTTATACGGGTTAAGGAGCCGGTTGTTATCCAGGAACTGTCCCATACACGTGCCCTGAAGGGTGGTTGCCAGGCTGAGAGCAGGTGAGGTGCCAAAACACAAAGATGTTTTCACTTACGCTGCAACTCTGCCCGAGATGTTACTTTGCTGTCCCTGCAAAACGGTGCTAAATCTTACTGTGTGAACCCCAGGCTGCTTTACCCTGCCCAGCAAGCCCAGGAGCAGGCCTGCTTCAGGGGGGTGTTCTGCAAAGCAAGAGGGGAGCTGTGTGCTTAGGGCAGAGGGCACCCTGCTGGCCATCTCCCTTCTGGAACCTGTCAAAGGCACCTTCAGACTGAGCTGTGAGAAGGAATCCAGCAATGAAAACATTTTGTATTGGCTTTTTGGAAACATCTAGCTTTCAGCTTGATAAAGCCTCAGCATCCTTGTAGGCTTCCTTAGGCTCCAAGTGACATGCAAAGAGACCCACCATTTCTAGGCAGGCAGTGTCATACCCAGGAGGTCAGAGCCCTTATGTACAGCAGATGGAAGATGAGACTCAGTGTCCCCTCTAATCTCCCCCTTACCCTCCCAATCTGTTTTGTCAACAGTAATGCATCAGCTATTGCAGATACTCCCATCTTTCCCTCACTATTCCTTAGGATTAGGAAAAGCATCAAAGCAGAGCTTGAGAAAATCTTTTATGCTCTCCTAGAGAGAAATGTAAGCATATGGATTCTAATCTCTGCAGAAGGTCTGGATTAGATTAGGAGTTAGTTTTCCCTTTACATAGCTCTGGTTCCCTATAGAGCTGGGTACCCCACAGCCCTCCTGGCTATTTCCCCTGGGTTTAGGTGTCGATGTGCATTGCCTCTAGGTGTAACACCTCAGGCATGTACTTTCACTGTTGGTGCAGAGTTGGAGTAACACAAGAACACTCACACACGTTTCTAGTTCAAGAAGTTCGGGTCAGCGTTCCCACATACTTCAGATACAGGTCTGCAAGGGAGTGCAGAGATAGTGGCAACCCCTTGGCCCATAGAAAAGCTCTGATGAAAAGCACACAGAAAATAGATTTCAGTTACATCATGGTTGTTTCACAAATCAACCTTACTTACCAGTTACTTTTTTTTTCCTTCCATTTTGTAGCTGTAAATTCTTTATGGCTTGTGCCTGTACTTTTGATCTAGTAACAGCTTCAGATCTTACAATAAAATTTATGAAAATAAATTTCATGCTCAGAATACTCATCCCATGGAATGAGAAACAAGGCTGAAGCATCTTTCACATTCCTCTGGCAGAGCACCTACATCAAAAATGATAAGGAAATAGTCTGAGCTACATTTTCAGCCAACAGCACTTTCTTTCCCACAAGTAAAGGCATTTCCATGTGTTCAGACCATGTTCTCCCATTGGGGAGAACACTTTAAGGTGGATCTGTGAGCCCAAGGTCATTTAGGTACCTATGAAAAACAAGGCTCCTAAAAATGGGCATAAAAGCTTCAGTTATCTAGTCAGATGCTTGCTCCATCCAAAAGCTTTCAGCTGTTTATATTAGCTCTGTAATTTAGCATTTTGAAGCATTAACTTTCTACCAAAGCTGTTGTTTGAAAGGAGTGGATTTCATGTAGCTCATAAAGAATTTAGTACAGTTGTATCCCATGCTGAGCAGGCACTTAATCACCTATAGACTTCCTGTGTGAGAACAGTCCTGCAGAGGCCAGTCGAGCTATTTGCACAAGTGAAGTTAATTGCCCATTTGTTCTAGCATTTGCCAAACCAAGGCTTTGATTCTCAAGTGTTTCACTGTGCTCTCCTGCCTCGGCGATAGCCCTGTAAAATTCACGTGTGACAGCTTGCTAGTGGGGAAGCAGCTCACCCTTATAATTCATTTCATTTGAGCTATCAAGCAGAGGTTACAATAGCACAGTTTTTGTAATCAGTTTTACAGATCTTAAAGCTGGTTTAGATCAAGTTTGGGATTTTGTTTAAGTGATTTATCCCTCTCTCTTGAGGCAGACCTGCAGGGTAACAGCTGGAGAAGAGGATCTGACGCCTCTGATGTCCCCAGGTCTGCACATTGCTTCCAGCTCATAAAATTGCCCAAGTTCTGCCCTCATACCTGCTACAAAAGCCACTGCTTTTCCTCCGTGCAAGTGTAGCAGGTCCCACGGCTGGAAAAGGGGATACAGTCAAGCTTGGAAGCACCCACAGCCCTAGGAGGGAACAAGCTATGACCATATATCCTGGGCATTTCTACAACTGCTGCCAAATTTATAAGGTCTGTTAAAAAGGTGATGGGAGGAGACACAGGACCCAGCCGGGTTGGGGGGCAGGGCTTTGCAAATGATCTCATGTCCCTCAGGTGGGAATTCAGGGCCAGTGAGCTCTCTCCCAGGCTGGCCAGCTGGGAGCAGCAGTTATTTGCTTCAGCTCTGCCAGGACTGGGTGTGGATTTCGGAGGTTTGTGGTACAGGTATCAGCTGGCTGGGCAGGGACTAGGGTCAGCTCACTTGGTGTGGGCCAGGAGCAGCCACATGAATTGCCGTGATTTTCCACTGCTGGGTACCTGCTCCTTCTCTAATGTGGGTGTTAGCCTGGAAACCTAAACCTGGGGGTTTATATCCTGACTATAAGTGTTTATTTTCTGTGAAAATAAAGAACTCTTGAGCATTCTAACAGCCCTTCTGGCTCTGCCCCCAGAGCCGTGAAACCGTGGGTCTCTTTCCAGGCTAACAGTGCTGGGTTATTTCTAAATAATCTCATTTGCCGCTATGTGAACATGGATCTGGAATCACATTTCTCTGAGGCTGCTCTAGAGTAAATTACAGTGTCAATGTAGGTGTTTAGCCAAAAAAAGAATTGCCTCCATTACTCTCTGACTGCCTTTAAGTAGTACCTAAGCTTTTTGTAAGGGCTTGGTGGTTTTGGGTTGCACGTAAATGTCATTAACAACAAGCTTTCAGCCAAAAGAAATAACTTCTCCCCTCTCCTTGCTCACCCAAGGACTTGTAGGAGACCAGATGGCCCCAGTGTTTGGGAGCAGGGTTTGGCAAAGGAGACATTTTCAAAAGTTGGACTTTGCTAAGATGAAACATAGCTGTTGCTGCTGTCTTTTGGCCAACTCTGCTGCTTTTTTCTTTTTAAGTCTCAAGTCCTGTTGCTTTATTACCCAATGGGCAGACAAGATGCACCAACCTGTGTATGAAAGGAGTGAAATAGCCCTGTCCAAAGAACATGTTGTATTTTCAGTGCCCCAAGGCACTTTGGTTTTCTTAAAAAAATGGGTTTTTTTTTTAAGTGCATCTTGGTGCTACTTGCTGTGATGTTATGTTCTCGTTTCTAATTCTGTAGGCGTGGGAGGCAGTGAGCTGCTGTCTGAAATCCTGCAATAAAAGCTTGGTATGAGGAGGAGGGAATGTATACTGTGGAAAATGCCCAAGCTTTGCTGTGAGAAATGTATAGTGCTGATCTTCAGCTGAGAAATATTGTTTGCTCATCTCAGATCCAGGGCAGGGTTATTTGAAGGTCACATGGTCCCCAGCAAGCCATGTTTGGTGGGACTGCTGGGATGCCCTGGATGCACTTGTCCCTGTCCCACCGCAGGAATGAGCCAGAAGGCCCCAGTGGGCAAGGAGGGAGCTGTGCAGCAGGCAGGAGCCCACCCCTATTCCATCTTTATGCATAAATGCTCTTTGCTCAGAGCAGCAGGCAGGATTGTTGGAGAAACTTTATGGGAGAAGCAGATGCAGAGACAGCTGCATAGTGGAGGAACATGCCCCCTTTTGGGGTGACTAATGCTGCTCAAGGAGCTCAGCTCCAAGCCTGTGGAGAAAATAATGCTTGCAGCTTCCTGAGTTCCCTGCAATGCCCAGGGTACAGCTGGGCTGGTGCAGGCATTGCAACACGAGACTCCAGGTTGCAGAGCAAACTGAGGGACATGAAGTTGTTAGCAGTGATGCCAGTGAAGGACATTTTAAATATCTTAAGTAAAACTAGAGGTTCAGAACCTGCATGCACTGCTGAGCAGTGTAAGAGCCACGGGGGCAGTAAGGAAACAGTGCTGTTCATTGACAGGTCCAAGAATACATTGGAGCTAGAAACCCAGAAATTGTTTGTGGCTTGGAAGCTGGGTTCTGGTCAAACTGCTGAGCAGGAGCATAAATCAGAGTGACAATAAAGGAAGGGAGAAGTCAAAGAAGTCAAAACAGCTTGTAGAGAGCTGGACATGCAAAAACAAATAGTGGTATTTCAAGTATGCCAAAAGCAAGTAGCCTGAGAATGTGTCAGCAGAGCTGCCAGCTTAATGGGGACAAGTGAGGAAGCTGAGACTGTGATTGGGAAACACTGCAACTTCAGAGCAGGAGTCACCATCATTGCAGTTGAAGGAGGGTCCTGGACTCAGTCTGCTTGTTTAAGGTAACAGGGAGGAGGTGCTGTCAGGGACAGGGTTTGGAGAAGACGTTCAGGTGCAAGGCAATGGCTTGAAAAGTGTTTAGCCTCCACATCCAGATGGTTCACCCAGGAGTTCTGCAGGAGCTGGGCTGAAAGTTGCAAACAAACATATGCATTTCTGCATTAAAACCAGCTGCTGTTCTGAGGAGCTGGAGGCTTTTCCCATATTTTAAGAAAAGCTTTAGGATCAGTCCAGACGGTGATGGATAGAAAGATGTGGGGAGCTGTTCCTGGCAATTTGATAGAAAAGATAATTAACAACAGAGTGAGAAAACATCAGGAGGATGAGGGAAGCCAGTAGAACCCAAGGACACACTCACATTTCTGTGCTGGAGAACAGTCTCATTGCTCTGTTCGAGTTGCCTCATGCCAATGAAGCCGAGAGTAAACAAGAAGCAGCTGGTATAATGTGCACTTCAGTTCTACACAGGAGGCTGTGGAAGAGCTAAATGGAGTGACTCACAGCAGATTGCCTGGGTAAAGAAAGCAAGTAGTCCCAAAAAAGAGTGAGACAGAGTCCTATGACACCTAGAAATCAGCCCAGGGAGTAGCAGTCCTGTTAATCTGGACTCCGTGTCCAGCCCTGCCCCTTGGGTTAGCACAGTTGGGGTGGGCTTGGGCAATAGTGGCTGTGATCTGTGCCTCCCACTCAGCCCCATCCTGCTGCCAGCCCACCGTGCTGGGGACTCATCTTGCCAGGGTTGGGGGTCTCACTGCTGCTCTGCTCTCCCCCCACAGGAAAGTCCCACCTGGCCATTGTGCAGCGGGTGAACAACGAAGGGGAAGGAGACCCGTTCTACGAGGTGATGGGCATTGTCACCCTGGAGGATGTCATTGAGGAGATCATCAAGTCCGAGATCCTGGATGAGACGGACCTGTACAGTTAGTGTCCCAGAGCAGCTACTGCAGTTGCAGGAGCCAGGGTGGGACCCCACCAGACAGACAGACATGTGGGTAGGAAATAGGCCACAGCAAATTGTGGTCCTTTCCCAGAGCAATTTACAGTCATGGTGGGAGAGACAATAATGATGGAGCAATGCTGCTCAGATGACAGGGAGTCTTGAATGCTTGAGACATAGAAGAACCAGCAGGGCAGGGCTTGACCCAGGGACAGGTGTGTTGGGCATGAAATGCCCATGGGTGGTTCCCAAGCTCCTTTCCAGCTCTGGGTGATGCATCCAGCCAGGGCAACCCTGGATTGTTCCTTCACTACCCTCTCCCTCCCCAGGGAGCTGCTCTCAAGGCTGTGATGTACAGCATGTTTTGTGCACCCTGCTGCTCCAGCTGCTGCTCCACAGCAGCCCTGCCTTAGGGTGCAGCAAGACATGCCTCTCTATACGTGTGCATGTGGTACGGGGCCCTGCAGCTGCAGTGGCTTTGTGGCTGTTGCAGTCAGGCAACTGCTCTGCTCTCTGCCCCACAGCAAACAATCGGAAGAAGGAGCGGGTGCCCCACCGGGGACGCAAGCCCCAGGACTTCTCCATCTTCAGGCTCTCAGACAGTGAGATGAAGGTGAAGATCTCCCCGCAGCTCCTTCTAGCTACCCACCGGTTCATGGCAACAGGTACCCTTGCCCTTGTGCACACCCTGCATCTCCCTGCAGCAGTGCCAGCTCCTCATGCCATCCCTGAGCTGTTCCTGGGTCAGGCTTCCCCCCAGCATGCAGTTTCCTTCTTCCTGGACCCTCACCCAGAGCATCTGCTGCTCCACCATTATGGGTTTGTGTTTGGCCCCCCTCCATGCAGTGGGATGCCGAGGCTGTGGGAAGGGGGTCTGTGCAGCTCAGAGGATGAGGGGTTCCTGGCAGCTCCAGCCCTGCTGACAGACCATGTGTTACCTTTCCTCTAGAAGTAGAGCCTTTCAAGTCCCCCTACCTCTCTGAGAAGATCCTGCTGCGGCTCCTGAAACACCCCAGTGTCATCCAGGAGCTCAAGTACGACCGCAAGAACAAGAAGGCAGCAGAGCATTACCTGTACCAGCGCAACCGCCCTGTCGACTACTTTGTCCTCATCCTACAGGTGCCTGCAGAGGGTGGCAGGGGGTGGCCTGTCTCTCCTTGCTGCTCTGGGCTGCTCCCACCAGCAGAGATGTCAGTCTTCTTGTACAGGGTGGCAAGGGTCCCTGCAGCCCTGGTGGTCAGGAGCACAGGGTGCCTGTCTGAGCGGGTTTTACTTCTCCTTCCAGGGGAAAGTGGAGGTGGAGGTTGGCAAGGAAGGGCTGCGGTTTGAAAATGGGGCATTCACCTACTATGGTGTCCCTGCCATCATGGCTGTTGTTTCCTCAGGTAAGGGCCCTGTGGGCTCCCTCTGGCACTGCCTTCACTTTGGCAGCCTCCGTGGGGGATAAGCCAGCTGGTGGCCAGGAGAATGGGCTGGCCATGGGATGGGGTGACACTGCTGTGGGGCACACTAGGCATAGCAGGAGCCCTTTCTCTGTGATTCCTACACCTCCAACTGTCATTTCAGATAATGACATGCGAAAAGTGGGCAGCCTGGCTGGATCCTCCTTCCTATGTAAGTATCTTGCTGGGGCATGCTGGGACTCTAAAACCTCTACTCCACAGCACCAGCTGGCTGGAGGAGGGGTGAGTTTGCACCCTGCAAAGAGCAGCTTTGGCTCTGCCTCAAGGTCACCCCCTACTAAAAAGCTCAGTGGAGAAGCAGTGTGCTGCTGGTGCAGCCAAGTCCCCACAAAGGGACTTTGAGGTCCCTTTGGTTTCAGTCATGCAGGCAGATCCCAGCATGGTTGGCACTGCAAGGTATGTTGCCCATGTACAGGAGGGTGCCCACATGGATGGCAGCATTAAACCCTGCAACTTCAGGTACATCTGGGTCTCAGCCTAACATCTTTGCACCTGTTCATGTTCCTAAGGCTCGGAGCATGACCTGAACATGGGTCCCATACCAGGGGAATGGGAACTCCTTGGGAGCTGCAGAGATGGGTCAGTTTACCTGTGAGCCACTCACATGTGGTAGTGTATTAATTATATTAATAGCTTTAGTAGCATTAATAAGGAAATTGTCTGAGTTAAAAGCAGATGTCCAGTCCTAGTAAATTCCCTGCCTGCAGAGCTGATGGGTTACTGAGCAGATTCCCTGCTTATGTGAGTTAAGAGGGAGTTCTGATCAGAGGAGGTGGTGAGCCCTCCCCTTCTTTGCTGATCACCCCTGCAAATATTTTGTGCCTGGTAGCTTGGGAGCAGGTAGAGGTGCTACCCACCTGTAGTCTGGCACATCCCTCATCCCACACCCCAGATGTTGCACTTGGATCTGCACTGCAGATGGTAAGCCGAGGATGCTCTGGGTGCCTAATCAAAACAGGAACCTTCTAAGTTCAGCCTTTAGGGAGGTATAGGGTGGGACATCATGGAGAGAAGAGGGAGAGTCCACTGGGGCAGGTGACTGTCACCTCTGTGGATCCTACTGTGTGTGCAGCTCTAGGGTTCACCTATTTCTTTCTGCCTGCTTTGCTTCCATTCAGAAGGCTGGCTCGTGTCCCTGGCACACTTGGGGCTGCGCTGCTCCCCATGCTCATGCGTGATGCTGTGTCACCTGATGTTTTCTGCCATCCGGCCACCCCTGCCAGCCACGGGACACGTGTGTGGTGCCACAGCCCTACCAGGGAAGCCAGCTGGGAGGCAGCAGAGGGTGCAGGGAGTTAAGCTCAATCTCCCACCTCCTTGAAGCAAAGCCCAGCAGAAATGAGTGAGAGTAGCATGTCACGGGGGAGAATTCAGACCTTAACCCTTGACATTTAACAGTTTGTTATTGATTAACTGTTGTTACACAACTTTTTAATGACCAGGCAATCTTTGTCACTGGCAGCCAGGGCAGCAGTGTGGTGGCAGAGACCCAGCATGGCCAGCCCTGCTGCAGGAGAGTTGGGCAGCAAGAGCAGGGAGCGAGTGCCAGTGGTTATCAACCCGTCCTTTGCTCCTGGCCAGATGAGGTTGTTCTGGGCAGCTTTTTGTGCTGGTGCATTTGTTTGGAGTTGTATTTGTAAAATACCTCATCACAGAGCAGCCTGTTGATTTACACCATTCAAGCTCTGTCCCTGCTGGTGTCTCTGTCTCCAGGGCTGGTGAGTGGCTCCCTGTAGCAGGAATATGTCAGGGGGTGGGAAGGGATACTGGAGGCAGCTGTGGGAGCCCAGCCTGGGGCTGCTGGCATGTGAACCTTTTTTCTCATTTTTCCTCTTGGTCTGTTCCCCATCCTTACCTCTGTCTCTCGCCTTCCCCTATCCCCTCCTTCCTTTGCCTCTCTCTCTCTGCAGTGCCTGTCTCAGTGTCCCGTACCTTCGCCTTCAGCAGAGGGGAGTCCTTGGCTGGCTCTCCAGGTAACAGGGCATGACTTTGAGCAATGACCTCTGCATGTGCCAGGCTCTTTCCAGCTCCCTGTGCACAGTGCACCAAGCCCCCTCCACCCTACATGCCAGACAGTGTCAGGAAAGGAGCACTCACAGCATCCCACATTGGGCAGCCCCTCAGTGGTTGGAGCAGAGGTGGCAGACCAGGGACAGGAGACCTGCTGCAGCCTCCCCAGTATTATGCAAATCCCAGAAAGAACGGGATAGGGACAAGGGGGAGCCATGAATACCTTTAGCATGCAGTTTCTGTGCTTTGGTTATTTTGTGACTTGCTGCTTGATGACCCACAGCCTTGCATGCATGCTGCCCTGCTTCCCTTGCATTCTGACGATCCAGGTAATAATGTAACTTTTTTAGCAGCAGAGCAAAGTCTGCATGATGTTGACATCACCCATGCAAGGAACAAGCTGCCTTTGTTCCCTAATAAATCACTGACCAGACAAGTCCATCATGCCGTATGTCAGAAGCTATCAGTCAACATGAGGGATGGGCCAGCTTGCTGTGGCAGTCTCTGCTCCTGTTCTGTCAGAGCTGGGGTGGACAGGAGCATGCCCTCGAGGCAGGTCAAGTAAATCCCCATGGGCTGCCAGCTGCAACCAGGAGAACTTGTGCCAAAGGCCATGCATAATGCCTGTGGTAGCAGAACCATCAGTCAGTCAGTGTGACAGGCAGACAGCAGCCCTAACCTCTGCTGCCTGCACCACATCAGATGCCTGCCTGCCTGATCCCTTTGGTTTGGGGACCAGCATGGCACAGAGTCTCCACCACCAGCATGCACCAAGGAGGACCCCACTGCAGGTCCTCTGTAGGGCCACTGCCCAGGTGACCAGTCTGGCCCTGTGCTGGCTGGGAACCCAAGCAGCACCACGAGTGTTTGCCTCTCTGCTATCCCCTCCCGCAGTGAACAGGTCACCGTCACGGTGCAGTGGGCTCAACCGCTCCGAGTCCCCCAACCGGGAGCACAACGACTACGGGGGCAGCACCACGCAGCTCCACAGCAGCAGCAACAACATCTACACACCTGACTACTCTGTGCACATCCTCTGCGACGTGCAGTTTGTCAAGGTATGGGCTGGGTTGGCAAGGGCTCTTTCTGATCAGGAATTTGGTGCCATCAAGCACCCAGGAGGTCCCAGTGCAGCTCAGTGCCCACTGACCTGGGCCTGTGTGTCTGTGTGCCCAGGTCACCCGGCAACAGTACCACAACGCGCTGGTAGCCAGCCGCATGGACAGCTCACCCCAGTCCCCTGACATGGAGGCCTTTGACAGGGATTCAACCAAGGCCTCGACTACAAGAGGAACCCCACAGACACCCAAGGAAGATGCCACCACCCTCCTGAATGAGAGGAACAGTGTAATGTGTGAGTCACCCAAAAGTATTCCTTCCCTGCCACAGGCAGAGATGCAGCTGCACATGGCCTAGGGCATGTGGGCATTTACACATGCACACCCATGGATGCCGTTCTGCATTTGAGTGCAAGTATGCAGGCATGTAAATTGCTGTTCCCTGGGCTCTTGTTCTCCCTGCTGGTCCCTGGCACAGGGTCCTGCTGCTGCAGCAGGTGTCCCCCTGTGTCCTGCCCCAGGGCACAGTGCCTGCCTGCCCTACGGCCATGCCTGCCCTGTGTCCCCACAGGCAGCCGCTCTGAGGGGCCGCACAGTCCCAGCGAGTCGGTGTTCCTGCGCATGGAGGGTATCCCCTTCATCCAGGAGGAGCTGGCTGACAATGAGGAGAACAGCAAGCGGCAGAGTGAGTCTGGCTGGGAGACAGTGACACGAGCCAGGGAGTGGTGAGGGCTGCAGTCCCTCAGGGTGCTGCAGCCAGGCTGGGCTTTTGCAGACAGTGAGTGCTGCGGCACCATCCTGGAGGCAGAGTCCCCGGGCAGAGAGGCTGGGACCAGCTCATCACCAAGCAGCTCCGAGGAGACACTGGGCAAGAGGCTGCTGAGATCCCTCAGTGAGTAACTGAGCAGGGGAGGAAGCACCCAGGGGAGAGCTGTGCTCCAGCACCCTGCTACTTGGATCAGCTCCTGCCAAGCCCTGTCCTGGGAATGCCCTGCACAGGGACTGGCTTGGAGCAGGGGGCAGCCCAGTTCCCTGGCAGCACTCCAGCAGCAGGCAAAACTGCACATAGGGCTAGCTCAGGCAGAGCCAGCTGCCTGGTCCTGGCCCAACCCTATGCACCTCTACCCTGAGCACCCCTGGAACCCAGCACCCATCCCTTGGCACTCTTTCTGCTGCAGGTGGGCGCAAGCAGCAGCCATCACCAGAGAGTGAGAAGATGCCAGAGGAGAGCTCCAATCTTGCCCCATTAATCACCTGAGCAGCAGCGTGGCTGGAGCACAATGCTGGAGGCCCATGCAGACTGGAGGTAGAAATCTGTGTCTTGGTGCAACATTCCTTCCTCAGGAAACGGGAGGTTGCTCAGTTGCACTAGCTTAAAACTGCAGTGAGACCCTAACTTGTGTTTTCACAGCGAGAAATGTGTGTCTGCACCAATATCCCCAAGCTTAGCTAGGAAGGTGCTGCAGGCTTGAGTAGCAGCAGGTCAGGAACAAGCTCTGGCCACCTGCACCAGTCTTTGCTTGTGTCTTCCAGGTCTGCAGCATGGGGGTCTCCTGCTGCGTGCAGCACTGCACTGGCTGGCTGCCCATCCGCCCGCTCGTGCCGCCCCTCCCTGCAGGACTTGTGCAGAGCTCCGTCCCCAGGTGAGAAAGGATGTGCCCCCCACAGGGGTGAACCATCCAGGCAGCCCGGAAGTGGGCTCAACCGCTCCGAGTCCCCCAACCGGGAGCACAACGACTACGGGGGCAGCACCACGCAGCTCCACAGCAGCAGCAACAACATCTACACACCTGACTACTCTGTGCACATCCTCTGCGACGTGCAGTTTGTCAAGGTATGGGCTGGGTTGGCAAGGGCTCTTTCTGATCAGGAATTTGGTGCCATCAAGCACCCAGGAGGTCCCAGTGCAGCTCAGTGCCCACTGACCTGGGCCTGTGTGTCTGTGTGCCCAGGTCACCCGGCAACAGTACCACAACGCGCTGGTAGCCAGCCGCATGGACAGCTCACCCCAGTCCCCTGACATGGAGGCCTTTGACAGGGATTCAACCAAGGCCTCGACTACAAGAGGAACCCCACAGACACCCAAGGAAGATGCCACCACCCTCCTGAATGAGAGGAACAGTGTAATGTGTGAGTCACCCAAAAGTATTCCTTCCCTGCCACAGGCAGAGATGCAGCTGCACATGGCCTAGGGCATGTGGGCATTTACACATGCACACCCATGGATGCCGTTCTGCATTCGAGTGCAAGTATGCAGGCATGTAAATTGCTGTTCCCTGGGCTCTTGTTCTCCCTGGGGGTCCCTGGCACAGGGTCCTGCTGCTGCAGCAGGTGTCCCCCTGTGTCCTGCCCCAGGGCACAGTGCCTGCCTGCCCTACGGCCATGCCTGCCCTGTGTCCCCACAGGCAGCCGCTCTGAGGGGCCGCACAGTCCCAGCGAGTCGGTGTTCCTGCGCATGGAGGGTATCCCCTTCATCCAGGAGGAGCTGGCTGACAATGAGGAGAACAGCAAGCGGCAGAGTGAGTCTGGCTGGGAGACAGTGACACGAGCCAGGGAGTGGTGAGGGCTGCAGTCCCTCAGGGTGCTGCAGCCAGGCTGGGCTTTTGCAGACAGTGAGTGCTGCGGCACCATCCTGGAGGCAGAGTCCCCGGGCAGAGAGGCTGGGACCAGCTCATCACCAAGCAGCTCCGAGGAGACACTGGGCAAGAGGCTGCTGAGATCCCTCAGTGAGTAACTGAGCAGGGGAGGAAGCACCCAGGGGAGAGCTGTGCTCCAGCACCCTGCTACTCGGATCAGCTCCTGCCAAGCCCTGTCCTGGGAACGCCCTGCACAGGGACTGGCTTGGAGCAGGGGGCAGCCCAGTTCCCTGGCAGCACTCCAGCAGTAGGCAAAACTGCACATAGGGCTAGCTCAGGCAGAGCCAGCTGCCTGGTCCTGGCCCAAACCTATGCACCTCTACCCTGAGCACCCCTGGAACCCAGCACCCATCCCTTGGCACTCTTTCTGCTGCAGGTGGGCGCAAGCAGCAGCCATCACCAGAGAGTGAGAAGATGCCAGAGGAGAGCTCCAATCTTGCCCCATTAATCACCTGAGCAGCAGCGTGGCTGGAGCACAATGCTGGAGGCCCATGCAGACTGGAGGTAGAAATCTGTGTCTTGGTGCAACATTCTTTCCTCAGGAAACGGGAGGTTGCTCAGTTGCACTAGCTTAAAACTGCAGTGAGACCCTAACTTGTGTTTTCACAGCGAGAAATGTGTGTCTGCACCAATATCCCCAAGCTTAGCTAGGAAGGTGCTGCAGGCTTGAGTAGCAGCAGGTCAGGAACAAGCTCTGGCCACCTGCACCAGTCTTTGCTTGTGTCTTCCAGGTCTGCAGCATGGGGGTCTCCTGCTGCGAGGCTCATGTTCGACAGCAGCAGGTCTGCACTCGCTGCCTGCCCATCCGCCCGCTCGTGCCGCCCCTCCCTGCAGGACTTGTGCAGAGCTCCGTCCCCAGGTGAGAAAGGATGTGCCCCCCACAGGGGTGAACCATCCAGGCAGCCCGGATCAGCTAGATGGAGTCAAGGGCCCTTTCCCAGCTGCTCCCTGATAGCATCTGGTCTCGAGGAAGAGGTGGAAAAACGAAAGGTGAAGTGTCTGGCACGGTGTCCCTGCAGACAGAGCAGGGAGGGGCGGCCCAACCCAGAACTGCCCTTAGCATCATCTACCATCCCCATCCCAGCGAGGCCCGGAGCCCCTCAGTGCTGGGTGCTGCACAGACGTGGTCTCCACCATGAGGAGAACATGCTATTTGGGGGGTGCCACATGCAGCTCAGGGCCCCAGCACACGTTTGTGCCGTGCTCAACGACACACGCACTCATAACGCCTTGTGCACGCTGACCATTGACACCTGGCACTCCAAAATCCCTGCTAGGCACAGAGCAGGGAGCCCAGCTCACCCCCACCCTGGGGGGAGCCACTCCACGCTGCATCAAACCATCCTCCTCTCCACACACAGCTGCCTGTGTGATGGAGGGTCCCACCAGCCTTTGGGCTGGTGCAGACCAGTCAGTAGTTTTTGTAGAGGCTGAACGCAACAGGGATATTAACATTAAAAGTGATCTCTCTCTGAGCGATGCTCTGTCTGAGTCAATGGGTGGAGGGAAAGACGTGCCAGCCTCTCCCACTGGGCTTGGCTGCCCTCATACCTGTGGCTGGGGGTGGCTGGAGTTACAAGGCTTGGCACTGCTGAAGGGAGTAGGTAGAAGACCAGGTCACCAAGTGCCTCCTCGTTTCTCTCTGTGAACTTGGGCTGTCACTCCTGCTGCCAGGAAAGCTCTCAGCAGAGTCGAGTTACACCAAAGTGGTGCAGACAAGGATAGGGGAAAAATAGGAGTTAAAACCATGTCATTGCAAACACAATAGTGGGTTACACATGCTGGAAGACAGCCTGACAGATAACAGAAATCTGACAACCAATGCTGATAAAACTTCAGCTGGAACAACTGCATCCCTGTCTGGGTAATGCCCTTCTAAGAAAATACACAGGAATTGAAAGGAGCCCAGAGGAAAGCAAGGGCTGGAAAACAGCCTACTCCAAAGGCTGAAGGAAATGGGGTCACTTAATCTTAACTAGTGAAAAATGTGAAGGGGAGAGAGGAAGTTTTCAAATACATAAAAAGCTGTTGCAAAGAGGCAAGGAATAATCTGTTCTCTGTTGCCATGGTAAATGGATAATGGCTAATGAGCTTACACTACAGAAAGGGAGAAATTTAGGTCACTCATTAGGAAAAACAAGCCTGGAAAAGCTAGCAAAGTACTGGTACGGATCATGCGTGGGCTGAGCCAGGCTCCACACCTGGAGGTGTGTAAGGACAGAAGTGTAGGCAGATGTCAGAAATAAAAGCAGAGTTGGTTCCTTCAGAGCCTCTTGAGATCACCCCTAGAAGTCATCCTTTAACCACTGCCCCATCATCCAGCTGTAGATGGACACCCAGGAATAAACTCCCCACTTGCATAGAGCTAAGGCTACCTCTGGGTCATTCTCTAACATGGCACAAACCCTAAGCTTGAGAGGACAAGCAAGACACCCCACTGCAGACTCTGCAAACACAGCAAGAGAACAAGGCACAATTTTCACCTTTGGCGTCTAAGCTGCAGCACAACCAAAATCCATCAGGGCAGCAGTGACTATCACTAACTGACCCAAGGAAAGTGGCTGCTCCCCTTCCGTCACAAAGATTTTGGCAGGAGGCTGATGTATCAAGGTGGCAGTATCAGCTCACAAATAGATCTGCAAACAGTGACCACAGAGAGCAGAAGCAGATGGTCCCAGCTCTTTTCAAGTGCCAGAAATACAGTCTGTTGTTGGCAGGCCCCTGTGAAGCCAGGGAGAGTAGGTGCTGGTTTACCAGGGGTCTGCTGAGAAAGGGGAATGGGGAGGATCCACTTTTTTGATGCACTAGTGGCAGGCCAGGATCTCTGGGCCAGGGAGGGCTGGCTAGATGGATGGTAACACAAAACCATCCAGAAAGCAAACATGTACAGACAGGATGGGCTGGACAGCACAAGTCAGGAGGCAGAAAGGAACACAAGATGGGCCTGGAGAAGGTCCCGAGGAGACCTTATAGCAGCCTTTCAGTACCTGAAGAGCCTACAGGAAAGCTGGGGAGGGGCTTTTCAACAGAGAGGGCAGTGATAGAACAAGGGGTGATGGTTTTAAACTGAAAGAGGGTAGATTTAGGTTAGACATCAGGAAGAAATTCTTCACCATGAGGGTAGTAAGGTGCTGAAATAGGTTGCCTAGGAAGGTTATTGATCCCTCCTCCCTGGAGGTGTTTAAGGCCAGGTTAGATGAGGCCTTGTGCAGCCTGGTCTAGTGTGAGGTGTCCCTGCTCATAGCAGGGAGGTTGGAACCTGATGATCTTTAAGGCCTCTTCCAACCTTAACCATTCTATGATTCTATGTAGAGTCACAGGGGGCTCTCGACTACACTCATGCATAGGACTCTGCCCCATTAGTAGCAACCACGATTATCAGAGATGCAACAAACTGAGAGAAAGGGAAAACCCTGAAACAAACTAAGACCCAATGGACAAACCAGGATGCTGAGGCTTTAACGTCAGCCTCAGAAGAGCCTAGTGCAGCTTGAAGGCATGACACCACATAAGGCAGGGGTAGTGTTCAGAGATGGAGGTTTAATTTTCTGTCAGCAACACAAAGAAGCAATTACCACAATTACGAATGTTTGCTCGCATAAGGCTCAGAACAAGGTGGGGGAAAGACAGCAAAAGCTATGCCCCTCTCCAGAATATTACTGAGTGGCATTAGTTCACAAGCTGTATGAGATCCCATCCAACTGGGCTGTTATCCCACAGCACATTGCACTGGCACCCAACTTCACCTAGATCAAACTGATCAGTTACATGGAGTTGATTTGGATGTGCTAAAGACGCAGATCTAAGTGCCTGGAGAACAGGCTGCTGTCAGTTAAACAAGAGCCAAGGCAGCTGACACAGCCCCCACCCTCCGGGGGCATCGGCTTACCACATCACAAGGGGTACTTCAAAAAGGTCAAAAGATTATTATCCCTGATTGAGCTACTGCTCCCATCTTTATTGAACCCCAAGAGGTGTGGGACAAAGGCAAGCCATGAGCAGGGAAAGACATGGGCTACACACTACAGCTTTGGTGACTTCATGTAAGTTTGGTTGTTCATGTGCTTCATTGGATTTTTGTGACGGCTTCATGGATGGACTTGGCCACATAGTCCAAGTTCTTGGTAGTCAGGCCACACATGTTGATGCGCCCACTAGCCAACAGGTATATGTGTTTTTCCTTGATCATGTACTCCACTTGCTTAGCTGGGGAAACAATTGGACATCAGGTCAGAGCAGTGACCCCACAGGCTCAGAAAAGCCCAATGAACCAGTTAGGGCTGCTTGAATCTTTCACGACAAGCAGAAAACTTCCAGCACTGGCTGCTAAAATGCTGCCTGATGCTTCATCCCTGCTTCCCCACAGAGGCACAGATGCCAGGACTCTAGTGCTGTCCCTGAAACTCCTGCCTGGACTGTTTCAGCCCAGTTCACCTCCAGAAAACTGTCTTCATTCAGTCCTCCCTTCACCAAGCCACTCGGTACTTACGGTTCAACCCTGTGAAGCTGAACATTCCAATCTGCTCTGTGATGTGGTTCCAGGTGCCTGGAGTCCCAAGGGACTCCAGGCGAGACCGGAGCTCTGAGCGCATCAGCAAGACCCGATCTGCCATCGTCTTCACATTGTCCTTCCTGCGGCAGGCAGGAAGCAGAGCATGAGGACAGGCACCTGTCTGGTTTCAGGCCATCTGGCCAAGCCTGGCACTCAGGAAGGCAGCTTCCCCCTCTTTCCCCCTCCCACCAGTCCTGGCAACACATACCACTCAGCAAAGAGCTGCGGGGAAGCAAGTGTAGTTGCCACAATGCGTGCTCCCTGGGAGGGAGGGTTGGACCAAGTGGTACGCACAATCTTCTCCATCTGGGAAAGCACACGCTGCACGTTGTCTGCATCCTTCCCCACAACAGTCAGGTTTCCCACACGTTCATCTGTGGACAAGCCAAGAGACATGAGCCATCGGTCCCACACATGATGGCAAAGCAGAGTTCTACCCACCCCCCAGTATGCCAGCCCCATCTGTCTGGTTATGATGCCACTGGGCCAGCTTACTGCCAGACACTCACTGTAGAGCCCAAAGTTCTTGGAAAACGACTGTGCACAGAAGAGCTCAAAGCCCTCGGAGACAAAGTATCGCACAGCCCAGGCATCCTTGTCCAGGCTGCCAGAGGCAAAACCTTGGTACGCTGAGTCGAAGAATGGGAACAGGAACCGGCGCTGCAAGGAGGAACAGTGTTAGAGGGAAACCCTCTTCCCACAACCTTCACTTTACCACCCACTGTCCCCACAGGAGGGAAAAATGACCATTGAACTTCCAGGTGAACACAAAGCAAACATAGTTTGGCAACACCAGACTGGGTTTGTTGTTTTTTTTTCCTGCCAGGATAAAAGAACAGGAAGACTAAAGTGGGTAATAAAAGGTCAAATGCAGGAAAAAACTGCATTGAGCACACAGGCACAA